CACAGCTGGTTTAAGATTCATCTCAAACCACAGTTTGAGACTGTAGGAGTTGGGGGCGGGGTTGGGGAAAAAATAGTTGCAGCTAGTTTGCGTTTTAAGGGATTAAAGAGATACACACTGCAAAAGAAGAATGGCAAGGGACTTGTAATAGAAAATCAAGAACCAAACCCAGTGCCATCAAGTCAATTCCAACTCATAGCGACCCTATGTTATTGTTGTTATGTGCCTTCCAGTTGGACCTGATTCATAGCGAACCCTCCTTGGGTTTCCGAGGCAGTATCACAACGGAAGTAGATTGCCCCATCTTCCTTCCGAGGAGAGGCTGGTGGGTTTGAACCACCAGACTTCTGGTAAGCAGTCAAGTGCCTTAGGCACTATGCTACCAGAACTCCTAGCAACCCCATAGGGCAGAGTAAAACTACCGCATAGGGTTTCCAAGGCTGTAAATCTTGTGGAGCGGCTGGTGAGTTCTTTGGGTTAGCAACCAGATGCTTTAACTACTATGCCGTAAGGGATCATAACAGTAGAAAAGGGGTTCAATTGAACCTCTACAACCTTGCTACGCAAAGTGTAGTCGGCCAGCCAGAAGCATAGGGAATTGGTTAAAAATGGAGAATCTCGTGCCCCCACCGCCTCCCCCGCCCCATACTTGTGAATCAGAATTTGCTTTTCAACCAAGTCCTAGTGATTGGCAGGCACTTTATAGTTTGAGAAACACCGCTTTAGAAAGATCTTGCAAATCAAGATGAACACATTTCTTTCTCCTGCCCCTATTCAAGAGAAATACATTTCACTCACATCAATGGACAAGTTTTAAAAAATAAATTTCTCAGCCTTGAAATAATATATACCAAAATGTTAACTATGGTTTTTTGTTTTTATTTTTACTTCTTTTACTTTTACATTCCTATTTTCTACAGTGAATATTTTTCCATTTGTGATAATAATAAATTCCTCCCTGAGTCAATGTGGAAAGCCTAAACTCAATATTTAATGTAGCTGATTGGGAGTTTGAATGGTTAGAGTTATTTCTGAAACACTCCTGGTATTAAAGTGGAAGTGATCTAGATCATTTGTGTTTAATGAGTTTTTATTTGGAACGTCAAATAGAAACAATAGAATAATATAATCAAACACCTACAGGTTACTTACTCCGTGCCTGACTGTATGCTAAATTCTTATAAAGAATTTTCATATTTAATCTTCAAAGGAGTCATGGGGCACTGTTAAGGTAGTAGCATTTCTAATACGTTAAGTATACTGTGTTTCCAGATATTCTCTACAACCCTTACTTACTAACAATTTAGAAAAAGTAGGGGTGAGTTTTAAATTATATATTTAAAAATTTTGTGTTTGCTCTTTACTTTTTTCTTGTTTACTTCTCTACTGTGTCCAGATCCCATCTATCCTTGAAGAGCCAACTATAATGAGAAATTGTTTGTCCACATAAGTTACATCATGATCTTCTTCATGTAGATTATTTATGTTCAATGTGTGAGTTTAATGATATCATTTTACTAATGCTGTAACTCATAAATCCAGGAAAAATAGTGTATACTAACCACATATGTTGTATAGATTTTCCCAGTAAACAAACCATGGAGAAAACAAATAGACAAACCACTCTTGAACACTCTTGAAGAAAAAGGAGCTTGCTCTGTAAACTTTCATCCAAATCACAATACAAACTTTAAAAAAAACCCAAGAAAACAGAAATGGGAGCAGCAAGAACTCCCATGTCCTGCTGAAGGGACTATATTGGTACAACTTGGGAAACCAGCTTGCTGGTGTCTAGAAAAGCCGAAAATAGGCACCCTCTATAATCCAGCAACAGCGCTGGTGGCTGTCGTGCTTGAGGCATCTGACCGCTAACCAGAAGGCTGGCAGTTCAAACCCCCTAGCCACTCCTCAGAAGGAAGATTGGGCAATCTACTTTCCATAGTGATACCGCTTGGGAAACCCAAGGAGGGGCCGCTATGAGTCAGATCCGATTGGACGGCAGTGATTTTTAATTTTTTTTAAAAAAATAATCTAGCACTTCTAGATATGGAGTAACCCTTGTATATATGCACGTTTAGGAATGCTCATAATGGCATACATGATTCAAAACTGTATGGTCTAAAAACTGGAAACAATTCTGATGTCCATGAACAATACCAAAAACCAAACCAAACTTAACTGCGGTGGAGTCGGATGTGACTCATAGCGACCCCTCTTTGGGTTTCCGGGAGGCTATCACTACGGAAGTAGATTGCCCAACCTTCCTTCCAAGGAGTGGCTGGTGAGTTTGAACCACCAGTCTTCTGGTTAGCAGTCAAAATGCCTTACGCACTATGTGACCAGGACTCCCTCCATTAACAACAGAATGGATTAAATGCTATATTCACATAAATAAGTCATCTCATGTATACAGTAACATGGTTGAATCTTAAAAACAAATGTTGATTGAAAGAAGCCAGATACACTAGAGTACATGCTGTATGCTTCCATTTATATATAGTTCAAAACGAAGCAAAAATAAACTGTACATTTAGGGATGCATACTGACAAGGTAAAAGCAAGGACATATTTATTGTAACAAGTAGATCAGTGGTTATTTCTTGGGGAAAGGGTTGTGCTAGGGAAGGGAAGCAGGAAGGGCTTCTAGGATGTTTATAGTCTATTTTTTGGTGTTTACATGGGTGTTTGCTTTCTATTTTGTTCACTTATTTATTTATGTTTTGTGCACTTTTCTACAAGTGTTACATTTCCAGTAAAAAGGTTTTTTTTTTTTTTTTAAAGAAAAGAAAAAACAAAGGTTTTTATTAATCTTTATTTAGAAATATAACCAGGTGCATCTTGGTTGTTAATTTTCTCTGATTGCCATTCAGTTGCAAATTAGCCATTGAAAGCATCTGATAAGCAATAGTCTATTGAAGCACAGCATTTACAGAGTTCTCAAATTTGTACAGGATAGAAATAGTAAAGATGTGAGGCAGAATACATTTTAATACTGGTACAGTGGCAGTAGCACCTTAACAAATTTTTATCTGTAGGATTTCTACAGCATTTTTCCTATGAACCTTTATCCCACAAGAATGATCAAATCATTTAAATGACATAGTGCATGGAGGCTTATGAATATTATAAACATATGTGCCTCAGAAAACATTATTCTATTAAAAATCCTCACTTTATTCTAAGTGAACATTCTTCTTTATTCTTTTATAATATAAATGTAACTAGCAAATTTAAAAAAAAAAAGCAAAACCCAGCTTTTACTAGAAGCAGAGAGTCTCTTAACTTCACTGTTAAATGTTCATTCATAAGTGCACCGTACACATAATGTGGGTCTCATCAGCAGGACTGCCTCTTAGGTGATAAATATTGTTCCCCGTCTGTTTTCCAACAATGGTGACTTTCCAACAATGTTCTACTTGGCATTTCAGAGGAATATTTATTCTGGGGAAATACATGCATTTCTACAATTTTCCTAAAATATCTTTTTAGCCTAAGCTAACCTGAGGACATTTTAAGGATATCATCTATGTAGCTGCTTCCTGTGGGAGCTCTGGTGGCATTGTGCCTAAGGCATTTGACTGCTAACCAGAAGGCTGGTGGTTCAAACCCACCAGCCACTCCTTGGAAGGAAAATTGGGTAATCTACTTCTGTAGTGATACCACTTCGGAAATCCAAGGAGGGGTTGCTATGAGTTGGGTCCAAGACGACGGCAGTGAGTTTGGTTTGGTTTTTCAGCTGCTTCCTGAAAGGCTAGCTATACACACTACAGCAACTCTAGTGACGATTTGAATCCCCTTGTTTCCCATCTATGAGGAACTGATATCTTTATTCTTGGAACTGAAGAGGAAATCAACATCAAAGTTAATTCTGTGCCTTAGTCACATTCTGCCTAACAAGAGTTCCCTTTGTCTATGATATGCAGCATATATGTGATAGGGATCCTGGCTGAAGCTATAGTAATATCCACTGCTGAGCAGATAAGTATGGCAAGCTGGGGGCTCCAGGGATTTAATCAGCAACTTTGTAGGGGACTGGCTGATAGAGTTGTCACATAAAAAAACAGGTTACCCATTTGAATTTCAGATAAAAAATGAGTAATTTTTAGTATAAATATGTCCCATACAATATTTGGGACATACTTATACTAAAACTGTATTCACTGTTTAATGGGACATATTTTTACTACAACAATATTTGTTGTTCATATGAAATTCAAACTTGAGTGTCTATATTTTTATCTGCTAAATGTGGTAACCCTAGACTGGGAAGAAGGACCAAAATCCAGTGAGGTGTGCATTATTACTGTTTTTGAATCCATGAGTTGGTGAGGACAGGGAAACAGTCCTCATAGAGAAGTGCTCTGGACCTCAGGGAATACTTGGCCAAGGCATGATGGAAAATATCTGGCTCATTTTGAAATATTCATGAAATTTATATTTATCTGCATAAATCTGGACCGCAGATATAAAAGTAAAGAATATTTCAAACTTCACTGAGCCAGCCAACTCCTTAAGGTGCTAGAAATGATACATTCTAATTTTTTAGGTCACTTTGGGCTTTCAAATACCCAAGAAGAGCTCCTACAGAGTGATGCACATTAGTGGGATTGTTACCTTCCTCCATTGATGATTCCAAGAAAAAAAGGAACCTGGCTATTTTCCTAATGTCATGTTATATACACCTACTCAATGGCACATAACAACAACAACAACAACAGTACAAACTAGGTATTGTTCCAACCTAAATTGGATAATTCCTGGGTAAATATTTTAGAGATTCTATTTTTCCATCTGGTTATCTTGCAGATCATATAAACTAGAAAATATCCAAATACCCACTTTTTACCACAGTATGTGTAGGGTTCATGTACCTAATTCTCATGGAATTATATATTAGTATAATAATTTATACATACCCTACTATCTTTAAAGAAAAAAAAAAGACAGTAGTTTTATCTGTGTATTTTATGATCTTCACATGGAATCAGGCAGAGTTGACATCAGTTTTGTTCATCAAAACTGCTTGTAGAAAGTGGCAGAGTTTGGCTTGGGCTTCTGGGGTGAGCCAGCTATAAAAGAAAAATCCCATTTAGAACATGAATTATACTCCGGTGGCTGATACCTCACTAAAAGAACCCACATATTCTTCAGGACAGCAATGCATCCAGATCTAAAATCCACTTTCCCTAGTTTCCCAGCAGAAGTTCCTGAATAGGGCTTCTTTGAAAGGGTGAGAGGGGCTTAGTTGACATACTCTCTGCTTTTCTTCCTACTCTCACCTGGAATGTGGACATGTGGCCAGGAAGTGTAGCCATCTGTACCATGAGGATGAAAAGCACACATTAAGGATGGGAGAGTAGTGATGACATGGATGCTGATGCCACGGTGAAACTGCTGCATCCTTTGTGGACTGCCTACTTCCCAAGGGTACAAAACACAAGTCCCTATTCGGTTAAGCCATTACAGTCAAGTTTCTGTTACCTGCAGCCAAATGCAAAACCTAATTGATACAATTGCTTCAGAATTAAAAGAAAAATGGAGTCCAAGTCTGGGTAGGAAAAATCATTCTATCTCTAACTATGTTTTTTATTAGAAATTTTCTTAGTAAGTGGATTTGGGGGTACATAATATATGGTATTAAGTTTTATCTGTAATTTTTGTTGTTCAATATGTTGGTTGATTATTTTTTATGTTTTCTTCTATTTCCAGAGCACCCACTTCACTCTGCTAGGTATGGGGTAGGACAGGGAAGACAAGGATCCTAGAACTGAACTAAAGACCTGGCTTAGTCTCTCAAGGAGGTCTTTGCCCTCTAACACTGTCCAAAATTTGTGGTATCACCAAAGACCTGGATCTTTGTGGATCTGCAAGGCCTACTGGATGCTCTAGGATGAGGAAGAAGGAACCTGGTAATGCCTCCAGATGAGGCTGTGCAGTGCCCAGGGGGACCACAATGATTGGCAGCAGGGAAACCAAGCTATCCAGCAATAGGCAATGATCCTAAAGTACAGAAGTTAGGCAAGAAGGGTGTTGGGGTAGGAGAGCATTATGTGGACTGTGGCATAGGCAGTGGAGTCTGTGGTGTGTCTCTGTTGCCAGAGGGAGAAGGAAATACAAGTTTCATATAGAAAGAGGCCAGCAGCCTTTTGTTCTATTACCAAATTGGGTGTCATGGAATGATGGCTTATCGGCCAACGCGAGAGACTATCAGGAAGGGGGAAGTCAGCACAAAATGCTCAAGGCAAAGAAAGGAAGACATAGAAGAAGCATAAGAGTTAAATGCAACAAAGGTAAATACTATTACATACACAATCTTGCAGTAACAGTAATAACAATAATCTACAAATAGATACATAGGCAAATGGATCTACACCCACAATTATATATAGGTTTGACAGAGGATATTTCTACATATGTATTTATATGTGCTGCAAATATATCCATGAATATAGTAGACATACAGGGGCTAGTTATGAAAACTTTTTAGCCATAATCAAACACCTTGATGGAAGGACTTGCTGGGCCTGGGGGCTTAGGATCACAGTCTCAGGGGACATGAAGGTCAATTGGCATAACATAGTCCATAAAGACAATGTTCTACATCTTCAGTGAGTAGCACTGAGGTCTTAAAAGCTTGCAAGCAGCCATCTAAACTGTTGGTTCTCATCAAGAGCAAAGAACAGTAAAGAAAATCATAGATGTATGGAAACAGTCCAAATGACTGACGGACAACATGAAACCCAGCCTCCATGACCCTGAGACCAGAAGAACTAGATGATGCCTAGCTTTGATTTCTGACCACTCTGAAAAGGATCATAATAAGAGGTGCTGGCTAAAATAGGAGAAAAATACGGGACAATACTCAAAAAAAGAACAGGTTTATTGGGCTGACGGATCTTAGTGGAATCCCCAAGGCTATGGCCCTTAGACATCCTTCAAGCCTGGAACCAAACTACCGCTCATGGTGCAATCTTCAGCCAAACAATAGGCCTATAAGGTGAACAGTAACACCAAGGAGGTGTGTACTCCTTAGAGCAACCAGCCATACAAGATCAAAAGGGCAGCATTTGCCCAGGGATAAAGCTCAGAAGGCAGAAAGGGATAGGAATGAGGGATGAATTGAAATGGTAAACACAAGGAGGAAGCGGGAAGAGTGCTGTTACACTGTGGGATTGCAATCAATGTGATGAATCAAAATATATATGAAGTGTTGAATGGAAAATTAATTTGCTTTGTAAACTTTCATACAAATCACAATAAAAAGAAAAAAATAGATGACTAAGACACACAGTGTTTAGAAGAAATCATAGTAGGGCTAGCAGATGCACTGGATTTTGGTGTGTCAGTCATACACACAGGTGACAAAGAAAAAAAGCTGTGCAGAATTTTACCTACAGCCTTGCACGTTCTGACTCCTATCATATCTTTCACCCTCATCTTTTACCACTATTTACTTTGCTGTGTTACAGCCACACTGACTGCTTTTCAGTTCCTTTGCTAGGTCATGACCCCTCCACCCCCATCATGGAACCCACATACATGCAGTTCTTTTTACCTAGTACTCTCTCTACCCTGGCATTCATGGTAGGCCCTGCTTCATACACCACATGTACCCATCCCAGTTAATGCCTACTCATCCTTCAACCTTCTCCAAGCACCATCATTTCCTAAAGGAATCCAATCTAAGAACAATTCTTAAATTGTCTAGGCTACATCAAGTTCCTGTGGGTTCCCATGAAACCTTTTTCCTTTCCTTCACAGTATATACTTCAGTGAGAACTTATACAGATACGTGATTATATGATTAATGTCTATCATTCCTACTAGATTGAAAACTCCAGGATGGTGATCTCTGTCTGCTTTTGGTTACCAATGTATCCCTAGTACTCTATCGCAATGCCTGGCATATAATACCCAAACCTACGGCCATTGAGTAGATTTTGACTCACAGCAACCCTGTAGAACATAATAGAACTGCTCCACAGGGTTTCCAAGGCTGTAAGTCTTTATGAGGGCAGACTGCCACCATCTTTCTCTCATGGGATGGCTGGTGGATTCAAACTGCTGACCTTTGGGTTTGGAGCTGAGCACTTAACCACTGTGCTATTAGGGCTCCTCTGCAAAGTATAAGGGACTATTAAAAAGTATTAATATTATTAAGAATGTTGCTTTAGATTATGATTCTAAATAAATGATTTTGAAGAAAAGGAAACAATATTAACTTCTCTAAAGGCTTACTTGAAACTTTCTCCTCAAGGCCCGAGTCATTACTGGAGTCAGTCCAGTTCCTGTTTCCATATTTTCTTTATTAGTAAGAGGGGTTCCACCTGGGCTCCTGAAAAGGTATTGCAAACATTAGGAATTGTGTTTTGTACCAAGTTTTCCAAACTGGATTAGAAAGCATCAAAACAAGAGCGTATTACCTTTCAACATCAACTTTTCTAAGTAGTTTCCGTAGATCTATCTGGCTTTTACCAGGAGTTCTGATAAAATAAATGAATAAAAGTTAGATTGTGCTAGATTTTGTAATTTTTCTAAAAGCAAAGCAGTCATTTTTGTAGGTAATTTCCTAGAAAGTAGTTTGTTACAATAAAAAAATAGCAGTAGATGCTAATGGAAGAATAAGCTGATATAACCATTTTAATAAGTAATACTCCTTGACTCTGTAAATACATATATAAGAATCTATCCTAGGAAAAAACTCAACTATGTACACAGACAGTAGACAAGGGTGTTCACTGAAGAGTTATAAAGTATCTAAATAAAAAGTCATAAGCAACACAAACATTTCAAAACAGGATATTATCTATGGAATTTACATACAATGGACTGCATATGTTGAAGAAGTCAAATGATGTTTTAAATAATTTTTAATAACATGGGGAAAAGTCCATGGCACAGTAAACAGGACAACGCCCCCCCCCATATTCTCTTGCTTCCAAAACATGCTCATTTTTATATTTTCTTATTTCTGAAATCAGGATGTTTTTAAATTCTTGATAGCATTTCTTTTTACTCTCAAATCTGTTATTAAATCAATGATATATCTTATAGTAGAGAGTCTTGAAAGGGAAGAAATAGAGTTTTCTTTAAACTCCTGTGTACATCTTAACTTTTCTACAATGAGAAAACACTAGTTTTAAAGTCAGAAGTAAAAAAATATATATCTTTTTAGGGACCGGTAGAGCATATTACTATGAAGTTCCTTACATTAAGACATTTGTAACTCGAGTTGATAACACTTTGGAGTTAGGTTTCAGGGTAACACGCTGCAAGTCGGAGACAGTAACTAGAGGATTCCGTGCCTTTGGTGATGGTACAAGCTTAATTGCAAAATGAAACATTATTAAAAACATATTTTAAAACGTCATTCAAAATTTAAACATGCTAGAACAACAAACATTTGAGGGCTGAGTATGTGTTTTTACTACTCTACTCAATTTTTATTCCAAAGCTATGAAGTGTGCTTCTACTTCTTTAGACGAATGGTGGGTAAGTAACACCACCTAATTAATAACTCTGAGATCTACATATTTCGTTGAAGAGATCCAAAACTACTAACATAAATCATTAAATACTTTTCTTGGAATGACTTCTATACCTAAGGCTTATGCTTATTTTCTATAAAGGAATAGCCAGATTAAAAGCTAAAAGAGCACTTCAGCCTCAGTGCCCTCTTGTTAGAAACCTCCCAACCATGAGGGCCAAGTGGAGAAAGAAGCGAATGTGCAGGCTGAAGGGCAAAAGAAGAAAGATGAGGCAGAGCTCTGAGTAAGTGTTAGTGTGTACATCTACGGAGGTCACAATAGCAGGAATATAGAATGCCAGAGGCAGGGGACGTGGGTATAAAGTCATTGACGATATGTTACTATGTAGAATTTCTCTCCCAATGGATCTAGGGTTTCCATTACTGTCTGATCACCACAAACACCTGAGAGACCCACCTGGCTCATACTAAACCAGTCTTTTTTCATCCTTTGCCCTGGATCTATGACATTCTGAATTGGTTCTGTTCTCAACTATGGCCGAGTGTAACATGTTCACATAAAATAATCTCTCCTACTGTCCTAGCTGAATAATAATAATAACAATAATAATTATAATAGTAAAAAGCTAAAAGACCAGAGTATAGTCAATGCCATACCTTCTTCTTTTCATCAAAACTTTGTGTTTTCTTTAATTTCACAGTCAGTAGATCTTTAACTGTTATCTGCATAGGTCCATCTCTTTTTAATGGTCCAGCCTTAAAATACATGGAGAATTGAGTTAGAATTCATATTAGAATCAGGACATTCAATCAAATGCAAATCCAAATCTAGTTTTTAAAGACTCGGAGATAGCAGTGTACACTCTTATTTACCCTAGGTACCTATACACATTGTATCTATTCAACCAAGAATAATCCTATATTCAGTACATGTGGATGTTGAGGTTATTGAATAGTTTATTCATCAAAATGTAAGGCTTTGATAATAAAAAATTGATGGGCTAATTCCCTACAACTATGCCTCTTCCCCAGGAAGATGCCTTGTAATAAGGCAGAAGCTGAAAGAGTTACTCACATCAAAGTGAGGTTTGCCTGAATTACCTAGAAAAATTACTATAGCTTTCACAGAGCAAGAATGTATTATCAGAACAGTATATGTTAGTTCAGATATAACAATAGGCTCTAGATTTAACTCAGCCATTTGAACCCAGTTGTATTCATAATGAAAATTCTATAGATTTTTAAACAGGTTGGTGCCTATTTTAGTGATTCACAGATATTCAGGTCTCCTTGGGAGACAAGTAAATTGTAATGAAAACTGGTTTTCCAGTGTAATGAATAAAATTTAGATTCTGCCAACTCTTTATTCTGACTTCACTCACTAAGCAAACTTCTGTTCTTAATTTGGTTTCCCAGGACTGTTTTCTTTTTTGTAAAAGGATATGTTGAGAAGCTAAGAAGCATTTTTTACCCTACTGTATTAGATTCATTTATTCTTTTCAAAAAAGAATAGCATCATTTTCATTCCTAAATCTGGCTTTTTTTTTTTAATGCATTTTATTGAATTATAATTTAGGTACAGTGAAATACATAAAACCAAAGTGACATGGGTCAATGCATTTTTTTTTTTTTTCCCGCAGCGTTCCCTCCCTTCCACTCCCACCCCTGGCAACCAACAAAGAAAGTTTTCCTCCATATATAAGCCTTTCCTTGACTTTCCACAATAATGAACTAATACTGTATTTGTCCTTCTGTGATTGACTTATTTCACTCAGCATAATGTCCTTCAGGTTCATCCATATTATGTGGTGTTTTGCAGACTCTACTTTATTCTTCAGTGCTGCATAACCTTCCATTATGTGTACATACCATAGTTTGGTCATCCACTCTTCCGCTATAATTCTTAGAGATAAGTCCCTTGCCAAATATGTAATTATGGGCAAATATTAATTTGTTGCTGTCATTTTTGTTATGTGCTTATTCGTGGTGTTGATTTCTTTGATCCATATAATTTTCTAAGCTGAGCTCGTTTTGTTTATGAATTGTGTTATCACTTCACTCATTTTAGTATTTGCTGAATATTAATGCTGGTCCTCTTTTTTGATGTGAAGGTATATCATTTTTATTTGAGGTTACCCTGTGATTTATAGTTTTCTTCCCAATTTTAGAACAGTCCGTTCTATCTTGTAGTTGTCTTGACTTCCCTACCATTTAGAAGTTCTCAAACGACACAGTTTTTTCCCTCTTTTTGGTTTGTAGGTCTCCTCATTTGTCAATTGATGTCTCTGGTTCCCTGTTTATAATCTTGTAGGCTTCTTTACTTTGGATACTTCCATAGCTGGGTTGGTATTTGGGTTATATCATGATGTGTGTTAATGGTCAGTTGTTGTTGGCTGTTGCCCTTTATCATCTCTTGTAAGGTTGGTCTGGTTTCAACAAATTCCTTTAACTTCACCATCATATTTGAGGGACAGTTTTGCTGGGTACATAATTCTTGGTTGGAAATTTTTCTCTTTCAGTGTTTTATATATACCATTCCATTGTGTTCTCGCCTGCATGGTTTCTGTTGAGAAATCCAAGCTTAGTCTTATTGGTTGCTCCTTGTAGGTAACTTTTTATTTTTCCCATGCTGCTCTCATGATTCTTTCCTTGTCTTGGTTTTGGTAAGTTTGATGATGATATGTCTGGGTGATTTTCTTTTGGGGTCTATCCTGATTGGGGTTTGTGGGACCTCCTGTAGGGATATATTCTCATCTTTCATCATACCAGGAAAAGTCTCTTCCAACAAATCTTTGACAGTTTTCTCAGTGGTTTTATTTGTGTCTTCCTGTTCTGGAATTCCAATTACACGTAAGTTATTCCTTTTGATGGTATCCCACATGAACCTTAGGCTTTCTTCATTTTGTTTTGATCTTTTTTCTGATTGATCCCT